GAGAGAGAGAGAGAGAGAGAGAGAGAGAGAGAGAGAGAGAGAGAGAGAGAGAGAGAGAGAGAGAGAGAGAGAGAGAGTGACAGCCACAGCTAGGTAGGGAAAGCCCATCATGCGCATAGCTGAGAGTAGAGAGAGAGGTATGAGGGCGTTACCATTGCCTGTAGCGGGAGAGAGAACCTTACCTCAGATTTACCTGCTGGCAATTGCAACTGAAGATGGCGACAGACCACCACTTCAGAAGGCTGACAGTGTCATATCCGCTTTTTATCTTGATTGCTATCCGCTTTCTATCTTGATTGCTTTACTGGCCTCGGCAGTAAGGCCAGCTGCAGAGTGAACTCGATTCGGGGAGTGACATGCTGATTGGAAATAGAAAGGTGATGTGTGAGAGAGGATTCGTGTAACCACCATCCCCCCTCCCCCCCCTCTCTCCCCTCTCCCCAATCCCAGATCCTTAGAGAGAGATGCAGAGTGAAATCGATTTGGAGAGTGACATGCTGATTGGAGGGAGAAAGGTCATGTGTGAGAGGAGATTCCTCCCATCCCAAATCCTACGATATTGGGATGGGGGGAAAGAGAGAGAGAGAGAGAGGGGTGAGGGAGATCACATAGCCTGAGAGTAGATGATAGGTTGAAAGCACTCTGAGGCGACGCTTGAGGAGAAAGAAAGCCGAAGGTGGTAAAAGAAAGAGGGCAGAGTACCCACACGCCTGAATATTGTAGTCATTGATCATATTTCTTGTCATTGTCTGCTCGACTTCTACGCCTTGCGTTTTCTTTTTCTTACTCTTACAACGAATCTGGTCAATTCATTATCTTCTCAGGGCGTACTCACATGCTACTAAGACTCTCTCCACTGATCTCTGGACGTAATCTCCGCCAGATACATCCATGGCTGGCCGTCATTGTGGTTGGATACGGCCCTCAGTTGTCTTCACATACACGCGAGTAAGACTCTCTCGACTGATCTCTGGATGTACTTTTCTCAGAGCGTACTCACACGGCAGTAAGACTTTCTGTACTGATCTCTGGACGTAATTTCAGCCAGATACATCCGTGGCTGGACGTAATTGTGGTTGGATACGGCCCTCAGTCGTCTTCATTTGAGCGTTGTGAGAACACACACACGCTAGTAAGACTTTCTCGACTGATCTCCGGACGTGATCTCAGCCAGATACATCCATGGCTGGCCGTAATTGCGGTTGTAAACGGCCCTCAGTTGACTCCATTTGAACAGTTTTGTCTTCATTTGAGCTTTCCGAGAACATGTGTGATGATGATGTAAACTCCTGAAATCGGGTTCAATACGATGTTTTATTTCTGTTCCTTTTTTTTTTCTTCTTTTACTTTCCTTGTTTAACTGCTTTCTTTATACTAATATATTGGCACACCTACGATCTTTACCATTCATTCTGTCCCCTATTCTTAGGGCACCCTCAGTAGGACTTTTTCAACTAAGCTTTAGATGTGATTGCGGTCAGATTCATCCAGGTATACTTCTATATTAGTATATTGGTACACACACGATCTTTACCATCACCTGTCTCCTCTACTTAGGGCATGCTCAGACTAGGACTTTTTCTAGTATGCCCTGCACGTAATTGCAGTCAGATTCATCCGGGTCTTTTGTTACTGCAGTTAGATACATTTAGGAAAGTCCTAGTGTCAGTATGCCCTTCAAGAGTTTGTCTTAAACCACCAGTACTTGGCCCAGCTATCGGCCGCGGCGCTTTCCCGTTAACGCACCACACCTTTAGGGCTTCGGGGTACCGGACCTCAATGGCTGGAAGCGCCAGCCAAAACAATTTCGAAACGGTACCCCGGCGCTTCGGCAAAAATCGGAGGGGCATTTCAGGCTCGGCATGGATAGCTGGGCCAAGTACTGGTGGTTTAAGCCCAAGGTAGTGTCAGTATGCCCTGAAGAGTTTTGTCTTTTCCATTCTTTGCCCACCGTCTATCCCCTCCCTTCCCCCCTTATCCCACCCCAGATCAGACCGTACAATAGGTACTCTAGGTCGGGTCATTCCCGCCATAACTTAAAACGCCACCTTGACTCCTGGACACTTCCCCTACCTTCCGTTGACTTTGCATCCTTCCATTGACTTTTCATCCTTCCGTTGACTTTTCATCCATCCTTCCGTTGACTTTTCATCCTTCGCTCTTGTTGTACTCTGGGTAGTTCCCTGCCCTTCGCATCTGTTGCCCCCCTCCTCTTTCCCCGACCCACTCCCGGTCATTCCTTTTCTTATTTTTTCTCTAGGTCATTCCTTTTCTTATTTTTTTCTCTACGTCATTCCTGCCATAACTTAAACGCCACGTTGACTTCTGGACACTTCCTCTACCTTCCGTTGACTTTGCATCCTTCGTTGACTTCTCATCCTTCGCTGTTGATGTACTCTGGGAACTCCCCCGCCCTTCGCGTCTGTTGCCCTCCCCCCTCCCCTCCCACCCCGCTCTTACTGAAAATGCACCAATTTCAGTAAAAAACAACAAATGTCTTTCCCACTCTCTCGCATGTCAATAGGACGGGGCTGATTTTCTCGTATCAAAAATTACGAGAAATCACAAGTCACAAGTAAAGAGTATATATATGTGATAGCTTTCTACCTGGAAACCTTAATGACTTTTTTTTTTTTTTTTTTTTGACTATTGTGTTTTGCATCCCGTAGCTTTTACTCTTTTCATGTTTTTTTTTTAAGCGTTTTAATCCCTAATCGAACGGTGCTATGTTCAAAGTCGCGAAACTGACAGATAAAGGTGTCCATATGCTTTCCTGACACAAAAAAATTCTAAGTCACGAACCTGACACATAAAAGTGTCGATATGCTTTCTATTGAGAGAAAAGGCGACTCTTCCTCACTACCTCCTGTTTCACACGGACCCACATAAAAGTGTCCATATGCTTTCTATTCGAGAGAAAAGGCGACTCTTCCTCACTACCTCCTGTTTCACACTGACCCAAAGACCGCTGCCTTCACCTCTCTCTCTCTCTCCCCACAAGTGCAGTTTGTCGTATGCCACGTGTAGACTTGCTCTCTTCCGCCACGCCTGCGGTTTCTCTCTTGGGCGCCTCGTCTGCGGTTTCTCTAGTCACGTGTGCACTCTCTCTCTCTCTCTCTCTCTCCCCCCAAGTGCAGTTCATCGTATGCCACGTGTGGACTTCCTCTCTTGCGCCACTCCTGCGGTTTCTCTCTTGGGCGCCTCGTCTGCGGTTTCTCTCATGGATGCCACGTGTGCACTTCCTCTCTTGTGCCACTCTCTCTCTCTCTGTCTCTCTCTCTCTCTCTCCCCAAGTGCAGTTCGTCGTATGCCACGTGTGGACTTCCTCTCTTGCACCACGCCTGCGGTTTCTCTCTTGGGCGCCACATCTGCGGTTTCTCTCTTAGGCGCCACGTCTGCGGTTTCTCTTTTGGACGCCACGTTTGAACTTTCTCTTGCGCCACCTGTGCAGTTATGCTCGTCTCGCTTCTGCTCCCCTCTTACAACTCGATCTCTTTTGAACTCCCTCCTCTTTCCTTCTCCCACCTCGCTCCCTCCATTCAACCTCATCCCTCAGAGAGGATACCCACCCCTCTTTTTCTTAACACAAAAGATGAGACCGGGAATCCCTCAACAAACAACCCGGAGCAACCACCAAAAAAAAAAACGACCCGGAGAATAAAGGCTGGGACCATTACCCAGTCTCGGTAAACGGCCAAACCAAGACCCCTGCCCCTGCCCTGACACTCCGCAACCCTGGGAATTGAAAGAACCAACAAGGCCCACCCTTCTTCCTTTCTTGTACGACGGCGATGGCCTTGATATATCATTATCGAACTGACCGGCCCCACTCAAATTCAAGAGTTGTTTTCTAAAATTCAAGAGTTATTTTAATAACCCGATTCCATAAGGATTCTAACTTAGGTCTGTTTCTCACCTCATGGGTGTGCAGTTCCGCCACACCAGCTGCGTAACTTGCGCTTTTTCAGCTTTCAAATCCACTTGCAAATCCACTTGCAAATCCACTTGCAAATCAACTTGCAATCTGTAAACCAACCAGCCACACTACCGTCTTCCCCCGAACATAACGCACCCTAAAAATGAATGTATACGAGTTACACTTCCGGCCAGAAACAGCCAAAAATGAGGGTGCGTTGTGTTCGGGGGAAGACGGTAGCGGTTCGAGCCCGAGAGTGACTGATACAACTCTCGGCTTGATTTGCAAAAGCATGTGCCGTTTTCCTCTCTTCTCTTTCACTCTCGGGTTCGAACATAACGCACCCTAAAAATGAATGTATACGAGTTATACTTCCGGCCAGATACAGCCAAAAATGAGGGTGCGTTGTGTTCGGGGGAAGACGGTAGCGGTTCGAGCCCGAGAGTGACTGATACAACTCTCGGCTTGATTTGCAAGAGCATGTGCTGTTTTCCTCTCTTCTCTTTCACTCTCGGGTTCGAACCGCTAACGTGTAGTGGGGCTGGTTTCCTTCTTTGCTCGATTATGTAATCAATCGCTCCTCTTACTTCGCGTTCTACCCACTGTAAGAGTTTGAACTTCACCAGACCGACCCTACAATACATACTTAAAAAAAAGCCTCAGCATCGATCAATCCAGCAAATTAGATTCACTCTTTCAAATCCCTTACACGTTAACGGTTCGAACCCGCAGTTAAAAAAAGCCTCAGCATCGATCAATCCAGCAAATTAGATTCACTCTTTCAAATCCCCTACACGTTAACGGTTCGAACCCGCAGAGCATGTGACTACGCAGTCGAAGAGGGATTCGCAGAGCATGTGCCGTTTTCCTCTTCTTCTTCTTTTTCAGCCAAGTGTAAAGTGCCAATCTAACCTGGCTCTTTTTCACCCACGTGTCAGTCTGACGTTAGTCCC